TAAAAGTTCTCTCACAGTGGCCTATGAGTACAACTGAGGGTGGCCAGGCTTTAGCAACCTTTTAATGAAATATAATATCATTATTATTATTATTACTTCTATATTGTTATCATTAGCGTACTTTGAAGACCATGTGCAGGAGCATGTTCAGTCCAGCTTTTCCCAGGAATTTACCCGCCACATTAGAGGGCCTGAGGTTGAACAGGTTGGTCCCAGTCTCAGTACATATACTCTTCTTCCCAGTCCCTCTGGGGCCAGTTATCATCACAGACTTGATGGGTGGAGCCTTCTCATGAGCTCCCTTGAGCCTGTATAAGGAGAAATACATGTACATGTACATGTATAATAATGAATCATGTACATGTACATGTACAGTGTAGCCTCTATATAATAAGGACACCTTTTCATAATAGAGACACTTTATAATGAGGACAGCTTGTACTGTTCCTATTGGTACAAACCAGTGCCATACTTTACCTAATGCTAGAATACAGTGTTCAGTTAGGACTCTCTTAACATCAGCTAGTGAAGGCATTGGCTCAATCTTTACTGCATTCTTGTCAGTGTTGTTAGGACCAACAGGCTCTGACACTAAATGTAAAGTATTTTACTCCAACATTAAATGTAGAGTATTTAGCATAAGCTGTTTTCTCCTCAAGGTCTCCCAGGTCCACCCTTAGTATGTTTGATCCTTCTTTAGTAAGACGATGAATCTTGCTCAATCCTAACCAAAACTCACCAGTAAGGTCACCAAATCCATTCTCATAGTCAGTCCAGTCCCTATAGAAATCAACAGATCCATCTTGTCTCCTCTGAAATACAGTCCATCCACCATTATCAGTCTACATATCACAGTATACCCGTGATCTAATAGCGTATAATTATATATTATGTTTGACTAACTTCAAATGGAGTCCTTCCATCAGGATGAACAGTATAAAAATTGAAGTTGGAATCAGCTCAAACTTTCTACACAGCATAAGTACATTAATATGTATCAGAATATGTAATAAAAATTTGGGGTGATTTTTGAGCCATTTTTTAGAAAAAACCATGGCTTGGGTATTTCAAGAATTGGCCCATTTTTAATGCTCATAACTTGAAAACTATTTGTTGGAATCAGCTCAAACTTTCTACAAAGCATGAAGACATTAATATATGTATCAGAAAATTGAATAAAAATTAGGGGCTATTTTTTGGAAAAACATAGACTATTTTTGAGCTTTTGGCTGCTTTTAAAAAATGGCTGTAACTGTAGTACATAAGGTATTTTTAGAAAATTGGCTATAACTTTTAAAAATTGCCATAACCTTATCAGAACCAGCTCAAGCCAATTGCTTAAAAGACTATTTACATTGTAACTTTATAATTTTAACTCCAATCATAGATAATAGAGTAAATGAAATCTATGCTCCAATAGATAACTTTGGATCCAAAGTTATCTATTGGAGCATAGATTTAGACACAACTGTGGATAGTGTCGCGCGCGACACCATCCACAGTTGTGTCTAAATCTCTCCTTCATCCTTATAAGGAACTAGGAGAAGCTCCACCCTCTAATGCTATCACCTTTTGAACCCTCAATGGAGACATTGTTATAATAATAATCATCAAAAACAAGTTAGATTTAATATGCTAATTATGCTTGTATTTTATTCAAAATAGGTCAGTATAGATTACAGTCTGACTCACTTCCCTCTCTGTATCTTTTTGCTAATGAACTAGTTAAAACATTTTTAATGATTTTTTGAAAAGGTACAATTTAAACTGATTAATTTCTTCTTCAAAAAAAAAACAAAATTAATAGCCAAAATCATTATTGATAATAATTTTGATTACGTTAACAGTTAACTATAGACTCTACATGTAAATTAATGTTTCAAATGCTAGCAAAAATGATTAATGTTCACGCAAGTGGTCAATGGGACAAAAATCCAACCACCAAACCGAGTATCATCACAAAGACAGGAGCTACTAGTCCAGTAGCACTGGATACTCCAGTACAAGGCTCATCCACACTAACACCACTGCATGAGTTGACACCAGATCCAAGATATGGCTCAGTACAGCAACCCATCCTATCACTGAATGTGCGAACGCTAGAAAGACAAGTGGAAGGAGCTGAACTGCAGGATATTCCACCAGAGGTACTAGATGGACAGGAATTTAACAAACGTTGGAAACTTGAGTAATCTCCTCGATATTGCCTTATGTACCTCACCTCACAATAGTCTCCACTCTCCTGTCCACAGACACCTTGACGAATCAAGGTAATGGCATAATCCTTATTAACTGCCTGTAGACAGTTGAAATAGGTTTCAATTGGATCGATGCAAGCTGAGACACAAATTCTAGCGTAAACATTGTTGAGAGCAGTGAGCTGAGCATCAGTGAGGGATGAAGCAGGGACATCTGAGAGACCACCTGAAAGTTCAGTGAAGTTGCAATAGGAGGGAAGGTCGGTTTGAAGCTGGTTTTCACAAGCAGTGTTGTCTTGACGTGCTTCCAGTTGAGAGCTATGCCTCTTACTGATTTTGTGCACCCAGTCAGTGACAGCAGCTACATCTCTTTTCTTTTTAGTTGCGGCAGCACCATCACTTGAAGCAACGACAAGAAAACAGCAAAGGAGAAAAACGGAGATCATTTTCAACTTCAAGGGACTTAAGTAGCTAGTACCACTGAAATAACAGCAACGGTCCAAAGAAGAATAAAGTTTATGCTTGCCGGTGAGCTGCTCAGTCGCCGCAGTGTTCAGTGTACTTCTTTTATTCCACTGCATAATGAGATTCATCACTTTTATTAAAATTTATACACCCACACAATCAATATGCACACACTGTGCCATAGATAATAGAGTAAATGAACTACTCTAATATCTATGACTGTGCTGACTTCAGTAAAAGCCAACAGTTCTGCTTGAAGTGTTTTGTGTGATTGTGTCTAGTCAAAAGTGTGCATATAATAGTAGTAGTTTGCAGTAATAATTATTCATCTTACAAGCATCATAAGCGTGTAGCTAATACCTAACCGAGTCTCACAATGCCAGACCAATCCCCAGTCCACCCAAATGACTGTGGGCGCCATAGGTGTAGGAAGGGGGGCTAGGGGGGAAGCCCGCCAACTTTTCAGCAGGAGGGGCTTAGCCCCCTCAACTTTTGGTAGATAAACAATAAGAAATACCGTCACGTGGCTCTATTTCAAGTTGTTAGTAGGTTATTATTAGCTTGAAACTTCATTTACTTCAATGGGCATAATGTAGCAATAACAAATGGCAGGTATTGGGCATGCAGTAGCTGTCGAGAGCACATATAACAGTATTATATTTCCATGTTTTTATGTTCAGCCCCCCCCCCCAACTTTCAAATCAATCCTACACCTATGCTGTAGGCTGTAGCTAATGCATTAATATCAGCAAGAGTACATGTATATCAGTTACTTAAAGATCTACATGTATGTGTATAATGCACTCCTATAGATACATGTAGGTTGCAGTAACAACATGTGAATAGACACTAAGTCTAGCAGCCACTAAACAATAACACTCTCCTTCATATTTGTACATGTATAATATTAAAACAAACAGGCTCCGTGCATGCATGTCACACTGGTGCTTTCAAAAATTCATTTTAATGGCCTATCACACAACAAGGGAGGGAGTGACCCATCATCCATGCAGGGAAATAATGAAGGAGGGGTATTAGCTATTGCGGTGCTGGTGTAGACAATATATATTATTCACTAAGAGGGATTCACCCTCATCAAGGAGTCCTAAACTGGTCTGTGATCTTGCTGTTTCATTCTCACTATTCTCAGCTTGTAAAATTAGCAGAGAATATAATGTGTAGAAAGAATCACCCAATTTACATTCATGCATATGGTTTTTAAAAATTATTGTATAGTTATAATATTGTTGTTTATAACACATGAATATGTTTAGTTGTGTGTGGGTGCAGGTGTATAATTATAATGGAAAATAATATTATTGAACACATGCATGTACAGTTAGTTATGATGTAGACAAGTTTGAAGCTGTTGACAGATGCTTCAAATGCTAAAAGAAAAAATACATGTGAATGAGACAAACAGAGAAACATTAAAATACAAATACACTGTATATGTATCACTCCTGTCCCTCTCCCCCTC